CATCAGCCACAATGAATTATTACTTTTATGGCAATAACTGCCACATGCAGATACTACCATCATCTTCCTCATAAATAGTGTAGCATAATATTATGTGGCGGCTATTGTCGTAAAAGAATATTTCACTGTTTAATGATGTCACATTAAGATATTGTAGGGTGCCTTTCTTTTGAGGGCTGTAAATGTTGCAGATTTTGCGATTTTTTGAAGATTCGCTTCTGCGAAAATCAAATTATTATGGTACAAGAGATAGCATAAATTTGCAAAAATTAAATCTGCTAAGTGCAAATTTGCGAATTTACAGCCCTTGAAAAAAGGCACCCTACAGTATAATTCCTATATACAACTACTCTATCTAAATATATATGCAATCATAAAAGATGATGTAGTATCTGCATTGTCCATACTAACTCATTTATCAATTCTCATATCATCTTTCATTAACAGATCCTGTGAATGAAACAGTACAAGGAAACCTGAGCTATAGTCCAGGAATATTTACCACTAACTATACTTATCTCACCCCTCATGACCAAAGCATAATATTCTACAGATTTATCCTCATGTGTCTTAAACCTATTTCTAAGACCATTATTTGGATAACTCGTTATAATACCACATTATCTCCAACTGAGAGTTTCAATGTGACATTAGATACATCAGCGACATATCTTTTCATAGCATATGCCACCAACAAATACGATAAAGATGGTCTTACACTGGTGAGAGCATGCTTCGATATTAATGAGGAAAATGATATGGTATACTGGAAATGCTAGTAAGAGACCCTCAAAATGGGTGATTAATGTCAGGACTAAAAAATACTGAATAATTAATTGATACTATTAGATACTATTTAGTTCTAGTTAATTTTTTTTGAAATAAATCTCAATTTGAATTAATTTTTGTGAAAGATACTTCCGGCCTATAATAAGCATCACGCGTGATATGCGAGACTACAAATTGTCTGCTTACATGGATATGGGAGTATGGCAAACCTTTTTTAAAATTTTTTAAAGATTAAAATACGCACATGTAAATACCACTAGCTAATTTAAAACTAAACAGTTCAAACTTTCTACACTTTAATTTTTGAAGTGTAGAAAGTTTGAACTGATTCCAATCAAGTTAAGATTTTTTTACAATTTTTTTAAACTGCTCAAAATCAGGCCAAAGTCTCTGCACATGCAGGATCTTCGTCAAAAATGAAAAGGGAGAGAATTCTCCATTTTTGTAACTCTTTCTGATGCATATACATGCACTTATGTTGCATAGAAAGTTTGAGCTGGTTCAGATCAAAATAGATTTTTAATGAATTTTTAAAGCTCCAAATGCTATGTACTGTATTGTAGTGCTTGTCAGCTTATGAAGCTTGCATTTGGCTCACTTAGCATGTTTGTGAAAAACCCAGAGTAGAGAAACATTTTACAATCAAAAACAGCTATAAAGTCATGATTATTTCATTCAGTTAGTATAGATGGTCTCATCTTTACGCTTCTTCTGTACAACAGTACCAGGTTTATGCTGTGCATCAGGATGATTCAATAACTCGGAGGGACAGGAGGACACAGGACTCTCAAGCAGTAGCTGCTTCAGATCATAGAATACCACAGAGTCGTCTTTAGTTAGGAAAGTGATTGCCAAACCGGTTTTACCAGCTCGGCCAGTCCTACCTATACGATGAGTGTAGTCCTCTATACTCTTAGCCATGTCATAGTTTAGTACCATTGTAACATCTCTGCAGAAGAGAGGAACAAAAATATAATATCAAATGTTTTATTGCATTTTCTGATATACATGCATGCACCAGTACATGTTGTTAAAATTTTATATATAGATTGGAATCATATACAAGAAACAAATATGTAAGTGTATCAGAAAAAATTATAAAATGAACAATTTTCACCTATAGTAATTTTAATAGACAAAAGTATACACTAGGCTGACTCTGCCAGACTGCAGCCAAGTGTGAAATATTGCTCACTTTAACAGCTTGAGTTGCAACTGTTCAAGATGAAGTGTGAAAAATACTTCACAGTAACCCTTGTGCTCTGATGCAAGGCTTAATCACATGATCATCACATGCTAATCAACTTTGTTGGAGAGGAAAGGTTTATCTATCTTCTGAGTTCTAGCTGGCATTTGCTGAAATAGCTGATTCAGTCCTCAATTGTTAAATCCTGTGCTTCAATAGCTATAGTCCCTCAATCCCTTGTGTTCTTCATCAATGGAGCCTAAATCCTGTTTGATATTTTTGATTGTATTATGTGCAGTAACTGCTGTCTCTTGCAGTAAAAATAAAAGTAGGATATTAAAAAGTTCTGTGTTACATATTGTATCTCACATACATAATTTACATTTTCAAAGTTTAATGTTGCTTGTATAAC